TAGCGGTGCTGGCACACCGGGTTCTAGTCCCGGTTGAGGCGCCGGATTCTGTCCCGGTTGCCCCTCTTCCAGGCCAGCTCTCTGCTGTGGCCCAGGAGTGCAGTGGAGGATGGCCCAAGTGCTTGGGCCCTGCACCCCATGGGAGACCAGGAGAAGCACCTGGCTCCTAGCATCGGATCAGCACGGTGCGCCAGCCGCAGCGCACCGGCCACGGCGGCCATTAGAGGGTGAACCAACAGCAAAGGAAGACCTTTCTCTCTGTCTCTCTCTCTCTCACTGTCCACTCTGCCTGTCAAAAAAAAAAAGAAAGAAAGAAAAGAAAAAAATAAACCCAAGTACTTGAGCTGTCACTGCTGTTCCCCTCTCAACCCCCAGGGATGCCGCAGTCAGGAGCCAGAGCCGAGAGGCACACCCAGGCACTCTGAGGTGGGAGGCAGGCATGTCAATGGTGTTTTAACCACTATGCCAAATGCCCGCCCCTAGGACAATGTTTAACCAGCTGGGCCTCACAGCCCAGGCAGGCTGACACACAAAATTAACTACCACATGACTTACTGGCCTTGCATGTGACCTTGATAAAGATACCTGCTTAGTCAAGGCAGAGTCTGGCGTGTGGTCCAGGCAGCACAGCATGGAGGGGATTCAGGCGTCTGGAGTCCCGTGTGTGTCAGTGGCAGCTGAGCCACCTTTCACGCTGGGACCTGCAGCCCACCAGGTTGCATGTTCAGCGTGGGAGCAGGGGTGCAGCACAAAAGCCACAGGGTCAGCAGCCTCTCCTCCTGGCACTGCTCTGAGGGTAACAGAGCCATTCATATCCACAGGAGGGCCAGCTGCAGTGAGCGGTCCATGTGCCCTGTGACAACCTGAAGGGAGGACCAGGCCACCAGAGGCCCAGGTGGCCTTGCAGATCACCAGGAGGCCCCTGGCGGAGTCCACGTTGTAGGACGAGGCCAGATCCAGCAACACCATTCACAGCAGTAGCACCTGCTAAAGGATTCTTTCCCTCGTAATCAATGTACAAAGTATATAAGTTCCCAGATTGCCACTGTCCCCATGTCAGCTGATGACAATGCCCAAAGCACCAGAAATATACTTTAACATTAGGAAACAATGACATTGTTGAAATCATACTGACCTTAAAAGTGGTCACAGTTTGCAACACCAAAATCCCATATAAGAGCAATGGTTCAAGTCTCAGCCGCTCCAATTTCGATCCAATTCTCTGCTAACGTGTCCAGGAGGTAGCAGACAATGACTGGAGGGCTTGGGCTCCTGCCACCCACAGGAAAGACCCAGATGGAGTTCCTGGATCCTGGCCGCAGCCATGACAGCCATATGGGGAGTGAATTAGTGGATGGAAGATCTCTCTTTCTCTATATGTGTTACTCTGTCTTCCAGATAAATAAATAAAGTTTTAAATTAAATAAAAATCTTAAAAAAAAAAAAAAAGAATGGGGGCCGGCACTGTGGCACAGTGGGTTAAAACCTCAGCCTGCAGCACCGGCATTCCATATAGGTGCTGGTTCAAGTCCTAGCAGCTCCATTTCCAAGCCAGCTCTCTGCTATGGCCTGGGAAAGCAGTAGAGGATGGCTCTCAAGTTCTTGGACCCCTGTACCTATGTGGGACACCCAGAAGAAACTCCTGGCCCCTGGCTTCAGATTGACTCAGCACTGGCCATTGCAGCCATTTGGGGAGTGAACCAGTGAGTGGAAGACTGCTCTCTCCTGTCTCTACTTCTCTCTATAACTCTTTTAAAAAAATAAAATAAAATGGGCTGGCACTGTGGCATAGTGGATAAAAGTTGCTGCCTGCAGCGCCAGCATCCCATATGGGTACCGGTTCCAGTCCTGGCTGTTCCACTTCCAATCCAGCTCTCTGCTATGGCCTGGGAAAGCAGTAGAGGATGGCCCAAGCCCTTCTGCCCCTGCACCTCCATGGGAGACTTGGAAGAAGCTCCTGGCTCCTGGCTTCAGATTGGTCCAGCTCTGGCTGTTGTGGCCATTTGGGGAGTGAACCACTGGATGGAAGACCTCTTTCTTTCTCTCTGTCTCTGCCTCTACCTCTCTGTAACTTTGCCTTTCAAATAAATAAATATTTTTTAAAAAATAAAAAAGTACAATGTGAAAAAATGAGAATTCCAGGGCTTGACGGAAAGTTATGGGGAAACGTGGGCTGCTTCCTCCAAGATCATAGCCTGCTGGCGTTGTCATTCACAAGCACATGTTATTAGTTTATGACAACATAGACACTGAAAATAACCTGAGTGTTCACTATGAAGTCAGAAGCAGCTTCTAGAAAATTACATCCATAAATAGGGAACTAGGGAAGATTTATGAGATATGAGTGGGGAGAGAAAGCAGCACAGTAAGATGTATGATTCCATCTTGTAAAAGAACAAAGTGAGGGATGCAGATACGTGTTTTTATGTTTGAATATCCTTCACAAACAGATGCTCGCTATTCAGTTAGACTGGGGAAATAGGCTACTATTTGGGATCAACACTGGTGGAGCAGCAACAGGCAGGCCCAGGGCGAGGGCTGAGCTCAAGCTACAGCTGGAGAGCAGTCCGCCTGCACTACAGCGGGAAGCAGGTGGTCCTGAGGGGGCTCTGAAGGGGAAGAATCCCCGAGCAGGTGACGGTGACCGTTAGCTGGGCTGGGAGCCCACATCCCGTATCAGAAAGCCCAGGTTTGAGTCGCAGCTCCACTCCTGATTCCAGCTTTCTGCCAGCAGGGATGCCTCCAGTGAGGTTCCTTCCACCCACCCACCTGGTACATCTACACTGAATTCTGGGCTCCTAAATAATAAATAAATAAATAGATAAAAATGAGGACACTGCTGACTTCTCTAGTAAAGGCTTTAGCTTATTCACAATACCCCTCTCCCCTTCTTACTGTACCCCATGCATCTCCCAGTATAGTTTAACATTTTTTGGTTAAACTGCATATGAAGGACTTCAAAAAGTTTACGGTAAATGGAATTAAAAGATAAACTTATTTTGGTGCAAATTTTTTTAAATCCACGCATGAACTTTTCAAAAGCTCAAGAAAAATGCATATTATGAAAGTACTTCAAAAAGTTCATGGGAAGCATGTATTATGAAAAAACTATGCATGGGTTTCAAAACATTTTTGCACCAAAAACAAACTTTAAAAAAAAAATTCCATGTTCCCATGGACTTCTTGAAGTATCCTCACATGAAAAAACTGTGTATGAATTTCAAAAATTTTTGCATCAAAATAAAATTATCTTTTAATGTCATGTTCCATGATTTTTTTGGCTTTTTCATAATACATATTTTTAATGAGCTTTTTGAAGACCCCCTTATATGCATGGACTTCAAAAAATTTTGCATCAAAACAAGTTCATTTTTTCAAACTTCACTTTCCATGAACATTTTGAGGTAGCCTTGTAATTTTAAAACTCATTTCAAAAAACTGTGTGAGACCTAAATGATCTTTTGAAGTATTCTTGTATTTTCATTTATAAGAGGTTGCTAAATATACATTTCATTATGTAGTCATAATCAAGTTTTTCTCTGTCCACAGTGAGATTCTAAAATCTGGTAACCAATAAACAGTATCTACGTTACAATGTTCATAGAAGCACTGCTCCTTGCAGACTCAAATAAAACACAGTATGATTATATTCCTTTCCTGCGCAGATCTGTGCTCTTCATGGACGTCTTCGTTACTTCAGTATCTTCTGTTTACCACTCTTTGTCACAAATGTACTTATTTGAAAGGCAGAAAGAGAGAGACAGACAGAGAGAGAGAGGTCTCCCATCTTCCCAAATGTCCACACCAGTCAGGGCTGGGCCAGGATGAACGCAAGAGCTAGGAACTCTGTCCAGGTCTCCCACATGTGTGGCAGGGACTCAACTACTTGAGCCTTCAGCTGCTGCCTCCCAGGATGCACAGTGGCAGAAAGCTAGAATCAACAATGGAGCCGGCTCGAACCCAGACACTCTGATATAGAATGTGGGCATCTCAAACAATGGCTTAACCATTAGGCCAAATGCCTACTCCAGAAAATGTTCTACATCGATAAATCAAAAAGCAGAGGTGGGAATTTAGCCTAGAAATTGAGACACCCACAACCCATACTAGAGTGCCTGGGTTCAATGCCGTCTCTAGCTCCTGACTCCAGCTTCCTGCCAGTGCACACCCTGGGAGGCGGCAGGTGATGACTCAAGTGACTGGGTCTCTGCCACCCGTGTGGGAGACCAGCACTGGGTTCCCAGCTTCCAGATTCTGTCGTGGGCATCTGGGGAACAGGCAAGTGGGTGGGCACTTTCTGTCTGTCTACTTGTCACTGTCTCTGTCTCTCAGACTCTCAAGTTTAGAAGAAAAGAAACAGTGATAAGAGCATGTTGTTACAACAGATCCAGGTAACCTCTCAAAGACAGTTAAACAGGTCCCTTCCTAGCAGTGGTTACCGAGAGTAAAGCGGGAAGGACAATACTTGGGGCCGCTACTTTTAAGTTCCTTGAAATTATTTTTTTAGTAAGGTTATTATTAAATCAATAAAAGTATAATTTCAAGTAAAATAACTTATTTTTTTCCCAAGGAGAATTTCTTTAAATCCAAGTATATTGCTTACCAGCAACAATATACTTGGTGAACAATAATTGGCAACCAAATCAGTTTAAAGACTGTATTATTGGCTGGCATCGTGGCTCACTAGGCTAATCCTCTGCCTGTGGTGCCGGCACCCCGGGTTCTAGTCCCGGTCGGGGTGCCGGATTCTGTCCCGGTTGCTTTTCTTCCAGTCCAGCTCTCTGCTGTGGCCCAGGAAGGCAGTGGAGGATGGCCCAGGTACTTGGGCCCTGCACCTGCATAGGAGACCAGGAGGAAGCACCTGGCTCCTGGCTTCGGATCGGTGCAGCGCGCCAGCCATAGCGGCCACTTGGGGGGTGAACCAATGGAAGGAAGACCTTTCTCTCTCTCTCTCTCTCTCTCTCTCTCTCTGTCTGTACCTTAATTTTTTTGTCAAAAAACAAAAATTAAAAAAAAAAGACTGTATTATTCTGCCCAAACCAGTCCCAGATACTGTTTAACAACAAGATGCAAACTAACAGTGTGGTAATAAGCCAAGACCAGTTCTGGGAAACATCTCCGAGGTCAGGTCCAGTGTAACCTTTGGGAAGCTCCTCGGAGGCCAGTCAAGTCCCTCAGACAGACCAGTTCCTTGTGCAGCACCAGTCGCCTGAACATACCATGTTCTGTTACACAGAGATCGAAGACCTCATTTACTGTCATTTCACCGATGGCCACAGCATTTAGCAAAGCCTGTTTGTTCACAAAAAGCAGCAGCACTGCATGCTGAAGCTTGTCTTTCTGAAGGATTTTCTGCAGCTCTGCTGTTCCTCCCCGAATTCTTTCACGATCACTGCTGTCTACCACAAAAATAGGACTCTGGGCGTTCTGGAAGCAATGCCTCCAGAGAGGCCTCGTTTCATCCCGATCGCCAACAGCCCTTACCAGTAAACAAGTGTTCTTGCAGTCCACTGCTTCTGCCTTAAAACCCAAGATGGGAACAGTGGTGAAGAAGAGTTGTCTTGCCACCAGCATCCCCTCCAACCAGCCACATGCACATGTGCTTCTGGCCCAAGAGGAGAGAGAAGAGACAGGAAGACAGTGAGGCCCTTGGTGGTAGTGGCACCTGCTATGGGCAGAAGCACAAGAGGACTGGGCCTTCTTCCACCCTCCTGGCAAACTGAACGAGAAGGACCAGAAAGAGATGAGAAGAAAGAAGGTGGGGATGGCTTGCAGGCCAGCGCGTGGGAAGAAGCTCCGGGCTTCCGGTCAGGTCCCAGTGGGGCAAGGACCTGCTCGGCAACTGGCGCAACAGCTTAGGCCCTGGCTGTAAATCCTCGGCTGTGCTGCCTCACGCGGCAGCTTCGGCGACTCCAGCAGCTTCCCGCTAAAATGACTTTTTGTAGGAAACGAATGCAAGTGTGTGTGTGCTGGTCGAATTCAACAAATTCTGCCAACTTTGAGAGCAGAGAACAAACAAGATTAAGAACCAGACGTGGATGGTAAGCGATGTCTTAAGAATGGAATCCGTTGCCCTGGGGAGCCTGGAGAGATTAAGAACCCAGGTCAGAATCCTAAGGAGCTTCACAGGCAAGTGCCAGGTTGAAGAGCTCTTACGGGAAACACAAGACAAGGCTGATGAGATGGAAGAAGAGTGGAAACGGCGGTGCTGCACATGGAGAAGGGGAGAGCTTCGAGGAGCAGTCGGCTGGTCAGACACCATACTATCAAGAGGTCAGGGGTGAGCACTGAAGCATTCCTGGGCTCAGCAGAGAGGAGGCCCTCAGCCCCCAAGTCAGGGGCTGCTGATTTCTTCATGTCTACGTGCACTTAAATCTGCGGATAGAACCCCATGCATGAATAGAGACACATTGAACTGTCTGGCTGCAGAGATATGAGAGGGGGACCGCACTTTTCTCATTCCTGGAGTTTCAAGCACATGACTCTCACCCTCTCCCAAACAAAGCCAGCACTTGTGGCAGGTCCGAGAGGCACACATATGTCTCCATGCTGCAATCTGAGGAAGTCCCCCAGGAAGAGATGTTCTGTCTACTATAGGGAAAGGATTTCTTTCCTCAATTTTCATCTTAACCAGACTTCTCAAGGATGCAGCCCTTCTGGGTGAATCCCAGAATACTGGCTGGACCTGAGAGAGGGTCCTGGCTCTATATTGCAGAGTTAACAGCTTATATCACACCACTGGGACAACCACTGGGCATTTCCATTCAAATCTCCCAAGAATTGCTGCTCACCCAGTTTGTGCTCCTTGTCAAACAACCTCTCTCTCCCTTTCCTCACCTCCCTTGAGACACTCCAGTTTATTCTGCAGGCGTCACCAGGGAGTGTCTATATTCCACCTAGATGTCTCCTTGGGCTCTGAGACCCAGTGCTGTGGTAACCAGCTTCAGCCCCTGCCTGGCCTGCCCCCAGCAGAATTCTTCTCCCAGTACCAAGAGTTCCAGGAAGGGTGAGTGTTACAGCTCCTAGGTTACCTAAAGCCACTAGGAATGTTCATGCTGTCCCTTGTCCCCAGCTGGGTTCCCCTTGGGGAACCAAAAGCACAGAACAACTTTCTGTTCAGGAGGCAGTCCACGCCAGCTCCAGCTTCCTTCTCTTAACTCCAAGAGCAGGTACAGTTGGTTGTACCTAAGAATCACCTGGGGCTGTACTAAAATGGAGATTCCTGGACCCCAGCCCCAGAGTCTCTGATTAGGTCTAGGCTACAGTCTGGGAGCCTGCATATTAATAAATGTCTCAGTCTCTGATGTAAATATTCCTGGGAGTTGACTCTAGGAAACAATACACCTTACAGCAGATGCTAATACAACCTACTGTTAAAAACATGATCTAAGGATAATTATCCCAATTGATCAGTAATTGTTAACTATTAATTGCATGAACAAAGCCCTGCTGCTAGCCCTGGCCCTAGTGAGCAGCAGCCTAATTAGCAACGGATCCTTGAATTTGGAGTTCATATTTGAACCCTATTTGTCTTCTCCGCCTGTGGCAGCTTAGTACCATCTCTGCTGAAGCCCGCTCACCCTGGCACCCTCGCATTTTATCAGCAGACCTGATTAGCATCCGGAGGCTGTCTGCTTGGTTTTCTGAGCACCCCAAAGGAACTCAAAGTGACCTTCCTTTATGACACATGATCGCGTGATCATACTTCAAGTCAGATCATTCCAAACATACCCTCTGTATCTGGTCTACATGCTCTGTCAGAGTCATATGATAAGACAGGTACTGTTTTTTAATTAAAATGGTAAAAAGGCAGACCTGTGGAATTACCTATTTTCAACTTAGGACACTATAGTACATCTTCAATGAATGAAACTTAACCTACTTTCCAGGCAAACTTGAGAAATGCTTCTCCTTAGTTCTAAGTGGAATGTAATTAGATTTTTGTGGGCTCAGGAAAAAAATACAGGATTAACTACCCAGAAGCAGGGCTCTAAACTCTTGAGTCTAAAAGGCGTTTTGCACATTCGGCCATCCTACGGTTTTACACAGTCAATGGAGCAAATTGTAGGTGGCTGCTTCCATTGTTAACATTGTGTACGTGACTGTGCCATTTTCTTAGTATCCGAGCCAAGGCTTTTGGGCGTAAATGAAAAGTATAAAGATCACGCACTTGAGATCACAGAGGACTGTTTGGGCTGATAACAGCATCTGACTTAGGGTGGTAACAGGAAAAGGCAAAGTGATTGAGATCAGCAGCAGGGCAGAGCGAGCGGGCGGCGTCGGAAGGTAAGGGAGAGCGTGCTGGACTGATAGACCTGGCATGCAGCCGTTGCAGACCTTGTCAGATCCGGCACTCATTATCATCCAGCTTGCTCTCAGGTCTGCTGCTCTTGACTACATTTTTAATCCCGTCTTCACACAGAGCACGTACAATGCCTTCTAGTCGCTTCCTGTAGATAAGAGTAATTCTGAGAAAGGTCCTGGTTGGATCACACGGCTTACATGGGTGGGGTTTTATGACAGCTACACTCTCTCTGGGATTTCACACTGACACTCAGCTCCTGATTGCTTTCTCAAAATTTCTTTTCCATCTTAGGTTTTTTCAAAGTCTAATAGCCACAATAATAAAACTAGTAATAAAAAAAAAAGGAATGGACAAAATGGGCTCTAATTAATTTTTTTTCTAAAAAAAATGACCTCTCTGGAGTGCAAAAGGACCAAAGAGTCCATCTGTGTACTTCCTCCTACAATAGGATGTAAGTATATGTCTGGATTATTTATTTATTTATGCTTGTGTCATTTAAAAATGTTATTGTTGACATGGGCATTTAGCCTAGCAGTTAAGATGCCTGATTCCACACTGCAGTAGTTTTCTTCCTGGCTCTGGCTCCTAATTCTGGCTTCCTGCTAACACAGACTATGGGAGGCAGTGGTGATGGCTGGAGTAACTGGGTTCCTACCACCCAACCATTGTGGTCACTTGGAGAGTGAACCAACAGATGGAAGATCTCTCTCTCTCCCTCTGTCACCCTGCCTTTTTTTTTTTTTTTAAGGTTTATTTATTTATTTGTCTGAAAGACAGGGTCAGAGAGAGAAAGATCTTCCAACTGCTAGTTCACTCCCCAAAAGGCCTCAATAGCCAGAACTGGACCAATCCAAAACCAGGAGCCAGGAGCCCCCTCTGAGTTTCCCACATGGGCACTGGGGCCCAAACTCCAAAGCCATCCTCCATTGCCTTCCCAGGTGCACCAACAGGAAACTGGATGGGAAATGGAGCAGCCTGAATCCAACTGGTGCCCACACAAGATGGCAGGTGGTGGCTTCCCCTGCTCAGACACAGCACAGGCCTCCCCTGCCTTTCAAATAAATAAATGTTAAAAACATACAAAACGTATCAAATAAAAATGAGAAAGAAGTAAAATATGTATCTCTTTGCAGCTCCCCACCACCACCACACCCCCAGGATTCAGGAAGAACTAGTAGGATGGGCTCACACTGCATGGTCTAGGGCACAGAGATGAACAAGACAGAGGTGACCCAGACAAGCCCAGTGAATGACACAGTTGCAACAAATTTCCCCAGGAATGAGAGGAAAAGTCTTTCCATCACCCAATGCGGAATGACACCATAAGAAGAATAAGGCAGGGGAATGGCATTTAAACAAATCTAATAATAACTAGGAGTTCCCGCAAGATAGTTCGTGTTGTCAGGAAGACCTTCATATTCACACACACATTTCAGCATTTTTCTCAGCCAGCTGCTCAGGATGGACAGTAATGTGCAGTCTCCTGGTAATGGGCATTCAGTGTTTACCGCTGAAGAAGTCAATCAATGGATTAAGGAAGTGAATGAATGAATGATACCATTAGCCTATCAGGAATGAATGATGCCATCAGCCTATCAGTCATCTGTATCTCCAAAGCCTGAGAAGGAAACTGCAAAGCACAGTTGTGTTAAAGAAGCATTTTTTAAAAAGATTTATTTATTTATTTATTTGAAAGTCAGAGGTACAGAGTGGGGTTGGGTAGAGAAAGAGAAACAGAGAGGTCGTCCATCTACTGGTTCACTCTCCAGATGGCCACAATGGCCAAGGCTGAGCCAGGCTGAAGTTAGGAGCCTGAAGCTTCATCTGGGTCCCCTACATGAGTGGCAGGGGCCCAAGCACTTGGGCCATCTTCCATTGCTTTTCCAGGCACATGAGCAGGGAGCTGGATGAGAAGTGGAACAGCTGGGACACAAGCTGGAGCCCGTATGAGATGCTGGCGCTGTGGGTGGAGGTTTTACCCACTATGCCACAGTGCCAGCATGGCACCTACAGAAGCATTTAGTTAGCTCAGTGTGCAGACTTTGTCCCTGTCATTGGTTTTAGGGGCGAGGAAAAGAGTAACAAAAGGTTATCTGAACTGAGTCTATGGCTCTGATGGGTTATTAGCTCTGCCCCAAATTCTGTCATGTACTTCTAAGAGTTCTGGGTGTACGAATTTCAGGGAAAATCTGGCAAAATTAGCACAGAATATTGAACCAGTTTTAAGGGTGAAAGCAAGCCCCTCATTCCCTATCAGCATCTTTTTTTTTTTCTTTTTTTAAAGATTTATTTAAAAGGCAGAGATACAGGTAGAGAAGGGGAGAGAAAGATTGAGATATCTTCCATCCCCTAGTTCACTCCCCAAAAGGCCACAACAGCTGGAGCTGGGCCGGTCTGAAGCCAGGAGCCAGGAGCTTCATCCAGTTCTCCCACATAGGAGCAGGGGCCCAAGGACTTGGGGCACCTTCCACTGCTTTCCCAGGCCACAGCAGAGAGCTGGA